TGTGTGTGTGTGTGTGTGTGAGAGAGAGAGAGAGAGAGAGAGAGAGAGAGAGAGAGAGAGAGAGAGAGAGAGAGAGAGAGAGAGAGAGAGTTTTCATCGTTCGGTTGCCTCCGCCCTTCGTGCATCACCTGATGCATTTGCTTTTGCCAGTGAAGCCACAACGGGTCATCTAGTAGTCTATTATTATGTCTATAAGATAAGAAGAAAGTACTGCATGAATAATGTGGTGTGAGGTCAGTCTGCTGACGCTGGGTGTCGGAAAATTCAAAATGCACGCTTTTCCGAACCGTACGTGCAAGTTTCATTGCATCCGGCTCTCCGAGTAATGTAGCAGTAGCAGCAACAGTGGCAGCAACTGTTGTGGTGATACTGATAGTTGTAGCAGCACTGACAACAGCAATAGATGCGCTGATGATACGACCCGTTTCCATAGGCTCCAACCAAATCTTCTCTGATCTTCAACAGTAGACTCCTAGCCGCGCCTAGGAAAATGACCGTTGCTGCTCGTTCCTTGAGCCACTTAGTAGTAAGTACCCGAACTCGCACGTCCACCTTGAAGAACTATGCACTGTGGAAGAGCCCATCTTAGTGATAATCGTCGTAGCAGCAGGAGTGTAGCATCGCCTTACCGCTGAGGCCCCTATGGAAGTAGTATGGATCCCTGACCGACCATAATAGTGGTAGCAGCAGGAGTGTTGCATCCCCTTACCGCTGATGCCTATGGATCCATCCATGCACGACCATAATAGTGGTAGCAGCAGGAGTGTTGTATCCCCTTACTACTGATGCCTATGGATCCATCCACGACCATAATAGTGGTAGCAGCAGGAGTGTTGCATCCCGGTACCCCCGATGCCGATGGATTGTTGATCGAGTGGAGGGGCCAGACTGCACAGAGCTGACCAGTTGAGTAGAAGGGAGGGAATTGTGCACTGGGGCGTCCTTAGGTACGCTCTGTTGAGTAGAAGGGAGGGAATTGTGCACTGGGGCATCCTTAGGTACGCTCTGTGCAGTCAACACTGAAGATGGAAGGGAGAGCCCATATGAGTAGTTGTGTATTGATGTACAGAGCGGTGCTGCACTGGTGGACGTGGGCCCTGTAGGATCAATCTGGTGGTTGGAAAAAAGGAAGATACTTCGCTTATCACCTTTTGAACAAATGTAAATGCAAACTGAATAACATATGTGCCCTGAGTGGACCTTTCGGGGTTCCCCAATATTCATCCGTAGAATTAGCCGTGTCGTCTTTGAACAAGTTGTACCTGTTTTTTTTTTGTTTTTTTTTTGTTCTCCAGTCAGAGTGCCGCTAATGGCGTTCAATCCATTGGAACTGAGCGTATGATGTGTTTGTCAAAGATAGCATGTCCACCATACGGCCAACAGGCAGCTGCAACTCATCCTGTGTTTGCCAATTTGTACTCGTTTGCAGGAGAGTTGGGAAGAGGCCAAGAAGGATGTGCGGGATGCAAAGGTGCAGGCTGGAAAGCTAGATGCTTTGTCTGAAGAAATAGAAAAAAATCTGATCCTTGTTGGTGCAACAGCGATTGAAGACAAGCTGCAGGTAATGCGTCCTTCAGAGTCCCTTGTTAAGGTGAGATTTCATCCGAACGGGAATCGTAGGCTCTGTAAGGAGGGCATACATGACTGATTACTTCCTGGATGACTCTGGCCACTCGGGAAAAAAGTCCATGGAAGGCTCTAAATATGGGACTCAATGAGGCAACTCTGGGTTCAAACTGACTTGAAATCTCGAAGGGCTGTGGCTTCCAATCCCTTGGATCCCTCTGTGGGCCCTCAATCTTGTGTTCTTTAGATGCAGCTGATGGTCTTGTTCATCAATGGCCAGAGAGGCTTGTGGGGCTGACGGGACTGCAGAGGGGGTGGGCGCTGCTTGTATTGGCTTCGCCTTGAAGTTTGCTTCAGTGCTGATGTGGCTGAATACACAAGTACCATACAATTAAATTCTTATTCGAATACAATCCAACTACAGTAACCCAACTCTACGGTGCAACTGGATGTAACAAATAAGTTGTTTTCTAGGCATTGAAGCACCGCTTTGAGAGCAGGGTTATAAATGGGGCTCAAAGGGGCTTAAAAGCTAGGCTACCAGAGTGGCCCGGGGTCACTTGGCCGGCTGGGCCAAAAAAATAAAAATAAAACAAAAATAGAAAAATTATTTTTTAGGCTGTTTTCCCAGGCGCCCGGGCACCCAACTTCTGCCCGGATACACGCCCGGGTGCCCGGCCGGGCATGACCCCCGGGCAGGGTTCCGGGCAGCCCCAGCATCAAAAAAAGAAAAAACTCAAAAAATTCCGGAAAAAAAAATGTTGTGTAGGATTGAAATACAAACGACTTTTGGCTGAGGGTCACATTATAATTCGTCTCAGAATCGGAGATAAAAAAGAAAATAACAGAATCACACAAAGGCATCCCCTTTTAGACCCCTTTAGCTCCTTTAAAACCAATTTATACCCCCCTCCCCCCCCCCTTGACAGCCAACTAGCAAAAGACGAAATGAGCCCTGATTTGGAGTTTGGAGTCCTGTGGGAGAGCGCAGAAAGGCCGGGCAGGACCGGCCGGGCGCGAGAATCTTCCTAGATTATTTTTACATTTTATTTTTCATTTCAAATTTTGTGAAGAATTTTGATGTGACCATGAGGCAAAAGTTGTTCAGTTTATTTTTCTGCATAACATAGTTTTTTTTTGGATTTTTTTTTCCGCTGGGACCTTCCTTGGTCCTTGCACGGGCTGGCCACCCGGGACCCGGTCGACCCGGCGGGTAGCCTAGCTTAAAAGGGTTTAAACGGGGGTGCCTTGGTTTGTTTTTGTAAACCACCAGTAACTCCTAAAACTGCTCCGCGTTAACGGGCGTGGCTTTTGGGATGAACGGGCCCGGGCTGGTAGGCCCGATTCAGCCAAGTGGAAACGGCGCCATTTCCACTTTTGGCTGGCCGTTAACGCGGAGCACTTTTAGGAGGTACTGGTGGTTTTAATCGATTCTGCAAGGAATCTGTGGTGACCCTCAGTCAAAAGTTGTTTGCAACTTTGCAGTGCAATTCTACACAACATAGTTTTTTCCCCCAGTTTTTCTAACTTTAAAGGTTTTTTTCTGCGCTGGTGCCACCTGGTACCCCGTCCGGGCAGGACGGCCGGGTGTGTGTTCGGGCGCAAAATTTGTGCCTGCACACGAACAAACAGCCAAGTTTGCTTTCGTGTGTCAAAAAAAATAAACTGCCAGTTTTCTGCTGCCCAGTAACGTTACTCAAATGTGTGATGATGGTTTCCTCCTGAATGTGTTGGCTGTTGCCTCAGGCAGGAGTTCCACAAACTATCGACACCCTTGCTCGAGCTGGCATCAAGCTTTGGGTTTTGACAGGGGATAAAATGGAGACAGCAATCAACATCGGGTACGCTTGCAGCCTTCTACGGCACAACATGGTACAGCACATTCTGAGCATCTCTGAGGACCAGGAGGTCATGGCGGCCGAGGAAAGCAAGAATAAGAGTTACATAGAGGAGGTATGCTAAGTGGCCGGTGAGGATAAGCTGATGACAAAAGTGTACAGAAAGTTGGTCAAATTCTCAACAAATCAATTGATTTTTTTTTTTTTTTTTTTTTTTTTGCCCTAACGACTAGTATACCTGGCCGGGGCTGTTTCGCTGAACTGATGCGCCCCCTGCATGCCGAAATTCGCCGAAGTGCCAGCGCGGCGCTTTTCTTTTTGTTTTGGCTGGTGGCAGCAGCCATTTCGGTCCAGTTGTCCCGAGCCCCGCAATTTTTTGGTGGTGGCAGCGAGTTCTTTTTCCGCAAGGCTGGATTGGTGGTTTAAGGGTCAAAGAATTATAATCGAAGACAAAGTGCACTAGATTAAAGGCACAGGAGCAAAATGACAATGCCCCCAATACTCAGACTTCAGAACACATCGATACTCGCACAAAACATTTGACAAAATCAATGAAAGCCGCATGGATGGGGTATGCTATGTGGCCAGCGGGGACTTGCCATGCATGAATGAGCGCAGAATTCTTCAATGCCTTCTTTTTTTTCTATCGAAAGAAATCAAAGAAACACCAGCTTATGATCCCTCATGGTCTACTTACTGACCCTCCCCAAAACAACGTACAGGAAGAATAAAGTGGAACAAAGAAACACTGCCATGCATGATGAGCATAGAATTCTTCGATGCACTGCCTTACGGCCTTGGCTTCTGGGGAGAACCAGTCGGGTTCCTTCTCCGCCGGCAAGTCAACCGAGTACATAATTAGTCACCACATGCCTCCACTCTCTACGGCTAGAGAAGCATCCAACAACATTGATTGGTTTTGACAAGGGACGAATAACCGTGCAACATGTGCATTGTTCAGACGTCTCCCGGTCTACTTACCAACCCTCCCCAAGACAGCATACAGGAAGAACAAAGCAGAACGGTCCCTCTCAGACCTTTACNGTCTCCCGGTCTACTTACCAACCCTCCCCAAGACAGCATACAGGAAGAACAAAGCAGAACGGTCCCTCTCAGACCTTTACGTGGGCTCCCTGGTGAAGCCGTCCTTGGACAGCACACTGAGCACAGGTAAGAAGGGTGCTTCGTCAGTGCCGAACTAAGCACTTCCCATGCATAAACCACTAGCTGGGTACATCGAAAAGGCAGCGTAAATTAGGGCAAAACCTTTGTTTTTTTTTTTTTCAAAGTTCCAAGGACGGAGGGCCCGTACTGGTGGTTGACGTCTTTCTCCTCCCTGCTTCTGACCGATGTACTTACCATCCCAATTCCTGCTGTGATTCCTTCCCAGAGGCTAAAAGACCGACGAATTGGCACTGGTTACTTTCAACCTTCCCACTTGCCAGTAGGGTTCTGTCAAAACTCCTAAACAGGACTGCTGCCACTTAAGGTGTGTTTTTTATTCTTGGCCTCATCCCTGTCCAGGTAAGCCAAACTCAGTTTCCATTTGTTGCTGAATTCGGATGCACACCTCCGGAGTCCTATGGGTTCTCTTATTCATTCTCCTATCACACTCACAGAGGCTCAGAAAGTGGATTAATGTGTAGACGTCCAAAGAGCAAGTCTGTGAATGAACGCATCAGTGAATAAGAGCGGCACTCACAGCCAATCAGAGAGGGTATCAGGATGAGTGAGGAGCGAGTCTGCGATTGAATGTAGGAAATGAGTGACTGTAGTGCTACCAACCAGACACCTAGCCCCTCCTACACTACGTACACATGTCATAAAGGGAAATAACGTGTTTCTCCCTTCCTTTTTTTTTAATCAAAAGAGTGCCATCTAGAAGATTAGAACGTAAGATGAAAAGCTGAATTGGGCCTCTGCATGACTTGTATTTTCCAGCGATGCACCTTCTGGCTTTGATGAGATTCTCTCTATCCATTGATCATGAGTCTTGAGAGCTGACCACACCATGTACACGGATCATAAATGGAAAGGGAACATGTTTCTCCCTGGGGGGGAAAAAAATCCTTAGAACGTGGGATGACAAGGTGAATTGGGCCTCTAGTGACTTGTATTTTCGAACCATGCAAGGTCTGGCTTTGATGAGGTTCTCTAGTCTGGAGAAATGAACAGGTTTCCCTGGACCCTGCCAAGCCAGCCAGCGCAGACAACTAATCGCATACATCCAGCACCCTGCATCTTCTTCGGATTCTGCACCTCACCCTTGTAACCCCCCCTTCACAGTCTCTCCTGCTCTTTGCCCCTTACTCACCTCAATGGTAAGTGCACTCTGAGCTCCATGCAAAGCTGCAACGGAAAACTCTCTTCGCTGAGTGGTTGAGCGGGCTTAGCGCAGTTTGCCACTCTTTCATCAACACCCGAAAAAGAGTTATCTTGCTCTTGCTTGTAGTATTTGTTTGACACAACCAATGTGTATGTAAGCAAGTTAAAGCAACAAAGCAGACATCGATTGTTTTTGACATGTGTGCTAGTCAACAGATAGATAGTATCATGCGTTCTATTTTTTGTTTTTTATTCCTTGTTTGATACAACCACTGTGTGTGTGATTAGCAAAGCAAATATTGCATGATTCAACGTATGTGCCAGCCAACAGAGGGTTTCGAATATGAGCTGCAGCAATGAAGAGAAATGTTTGCTGACATCAGAGCAATCACTGGAAGCTAATGATGTCGTTTGCTTTCATCAGTGGGATGGTCTGGAGGGGGGAAAAAAGAAAAAAACTTTGTAGGTCTGATGTCAGTGCATTTTGCTGTGCTTGTCTGTCTTGATGAATTTTGCCAGGTGTCAAAAGCATGTGTCATTCGCCAAATAAGGGCAAGTTTGAAGGCCCTAAGGAATGATGCATCCTCTGGGCCAGGTTATACTGATCGATCCCATGCATTGATCGTTGATGGTAAATCACTGACCTATGCTGTTAGTGATGACGATCCGATAACCAGCCGGGAGTTTTTGGAATTAGGAATGTCGTGTGAGTCGGTGATTTGTTGTCGGGTTTCCCCGAAACAGAAGGCAGATGTCACGGCGCTTGTGAAGAGGGAAGGAAAGGAGGTATGCTTGAGTGTTGGTGATGGAGCCAATGATGTTGGAATGATCCAAGAAGCAAACATTGGGGTTGGAATTAGTGGCTTGGAGGGGCAGCAGGTCAGTCACTCACGTCCTTACTGCTTTTTTGTTCGACAAGCTGCAAATGATGACTGTGTGGAACATCATACTCACCACCTTGTACTCAGCTGCTGTATGATGCTTTCTTTTTTTCTCTCCTCTGTTTCTTAAACCACCAGTACGTGGCCCAGCTATCAGCCGCGGGCGATTCCTGTGAACGCGCCGGTAGTTGCGTGCTTCGGGGCACCGATCCATAATGTCTGGAAGCGGCCGCCAAAATGAAAACGAAACGTTGCCCCAGCGGCGCGGCAAAACTTGGCGCGCAGGGGCTATCCCGGCTCGGCATCAATAGCTGGGCCAAGTACTGGTGGTTTAATGGTGCAGAGTGGGAGAAGATGTGCCCTGAGACCAAGGGTCGAGCCCCTTTGGTGCTGTAGTTGTGTTAAACCACCACTACCTTTCCCACTGTTGGAAAAATGGGAAAAATACTAAAATAGCCGGGGGCCAGGCTCGACGGCGGCCGCCATTGGTAAATCTCGCCGGTGGCTGTCGTTTTGTTTCGGCCTTGGAAATGATCGAGTAGCCCTCGTTGTGAAAATGAGGCCCAGGTAGTGGTGTGTGTGAAGAAACTTGATCAGGTTTCACAACCACTCCCGCAGGCCCGGAGACTAACAAGGGCATAATCACACTCTACCGTCTTCCCTCGAATGGAACGTATGGTTATTATAGCCGTATTTGGGGTAATTTTCACTCCAGAAGCAGTGAAAATGACTGTCTGTTTTATTTGGGGCACGGAGGTAGGACTTTCCTGCATGAATCAGTGGCAGTCCTATTGTGAGGATGCCCTAAGAGTGCATCGCACGTAGGTACCGCCATGAAGAAGAAGTGGTGGGATCTTGGCAGGTGCAGACACAGCCGGTCAGCCCATCTGTGTCTGGTCTGCGGATTGTGCATCTGCGTGGAAAGGGAGACTGAAAATAAAAGGCAGAATACTGGATGTCCTTCTTAGCCCTGCAAGGATGTTGACATCTGGGTCGTTTGATTTTGACGTTTGAGATTTGATTATCCTGTACATCGGCCACTTGAGGGTCTGATGATCGTTTGAATGGTTACCCTTCCGAGCAACTCTTTTCTCAATCTCCCGACATGTCATTATGCTCTTGTGCTTTGCTTCTTTGGATGGGCTTTCATAGCATTTGTTGAAATGGATGTCTTCAAGTTGTGTTCTTTTCAAGGAGTCAAAAGATCGGATCATAAGATCCGCGGTTCTGGTAATCAACGAACGTGCAACAGCATGTAGGTTAAAATTTCTCTTTTATACGTACCTAGTGGGTCATATTTTGGTGTTCACGACTGATCATGTATGTTGTAATTAATTATCATAGATCACAGAAACTCAGAATCGTGCCGACCGCCCCCCCAAAATCACACTTTTTGTATCCCACGACATGTTTACAAAGGACAAAATAAATGTATATTGTACACAAATCTTTCTAAGTTTCTACCCTTCTCCGATGTTCGGAGGGAGTTGATGGTCGGTGATGGGAATATGGCCAATTTCCACAAATGTATATTGTACACAAAGCTTTCTACCGTTCTTCGATGTTTGTATCGCTGGGAACAACTTCCAAACCTAAGCACACAGAGCGGCAGAAGATATTTGACACTCCATTCTCGTGGTGATTAGAGCGTACGTACGGTTGCTGGATTGGAGGTAACAGGTCAAGGGGATTGGAGTCAATGGACCAATCAATGGTATGATTTAATATAGTTTCGGCTGCTTCAGCCTCTTCCTCATTTGCTGTATGAGGCCTCGGAGCCATTCTGTCTTATCTTTGCAGTCAGCAACATTTTCTTGTCGTAAACCACCACCGTTCATTATCACTGCCTAGGTACAAGAAGACCTGTCCATTTTGAGTTGGGTGGATGGATTGACTATCCAACGACCACCGGTTTTCCTTTTGCTCGGTGATGGCTGGCGGAATTTTCAGGTGGTGCATCTGGTGTTTGGTGGTTTAAGGTGCAACGGACAATGGGACTGCCACTGTCGGGTTATTGCGATCTCTGGGTTATCTCCGCTGCTGATGTTATGCTTTTAGTTAGGAAAATGCAGACTGACTTATTATTAGCTGTTGTTTTGTCCAGTGAAAACAGGGGGTCAGCGCAAAATCGCGGCAGGCACTTTCTGGGCTTGTAAGCTGTGCTAACTGCTAAAAATGGTTGTGCATGCATCTGCTTAATTTGCCTCTTGCTTCTCAGCAGTCCGGCAACTTACCGAATGACAAATGTACAGTTGATGATCGAGTCCCAAGGCATCTCTGCGATCTGACTCCTGTTGCAGAGAGACTGGAAAGGGCATAAAACCTGGGCTACCAGCTGTGCCACTCGGGTCCCGAAAGATGGGACGGGACCTGCCCGGGATGCCCGGGCGGGCAACTGGGCCGGGCGGGGTGTCCCGGCCCATATACCACCAAAAAAAAAAAAAAAAAATCAAAAAATTCTGAAAAAAGGTATGTTGTGCAGTATAGCAAACCAAACAACTTTTGGCCGAGGGCCAGTTCCAAAGTCTCCACAGAATTTGAAATAAAAGTAAAATAATGTAAGGAAAATCATATTACCCGCTTTAAAGGCCTTTCAACCCCTTCCAAGCTCCTTTAAGACCCTTAACACCCCCCCCCCCCCCCCCCCCCCCCCCCCCCCCCCCTCCAAAACGACATGAATCAAAAAAAAAAAAAGCATGGATTTGGGTCCCTCTCGGAGGGCACAAAAGTGTCCCATGACGAGGGGGAAAAAAAGAAGAGCGATTACTTTTTTTACTTGCCCGGGTGACCCGGGCAAGAGAGTCCAAGTCGCACTGGCCCGGCTGCCCGGCCGGGTCTGGTAGCCGATCATAAAATTCGACAGAAGCATACCAGACAATTGATCGGGTTGGGTTGGCTCGTGCGGGTCAGGACGGGCCGGTCAGGTGGTCGGTGCACTTCCTTTATTTGGTTCCTTTTTCTTTTTCGGTCGGTCGGTCGGTTGGTTGGTCAATCGAGTTAGCAGTATTGTTTGTGATATTGCGGCCTCTGATTCGTTTTCTTCGATGGCAACTCTGCCGGACTGCCCAGGAGGTGATTGGACGTAGCCATTTTGCCATTTATTTGTTGCTTGGGTGCATGTGCTGATGATGGTATATCTCCTCAAAATCTGTTTCCCTGTAGGCAGTTATGGCTGCAGATTTCGCAATTGGTCAATTTCGGTTTCTGGAGCGATTGCTTCTGGTCCATGGTGGCTGGTGCTACAAGCGCATTTCCCGTATGGTGAGCAGTCCTGTCACACTCCCTACCTTCCAGACCGCCATTCTCAACACCCGCACGGTGAGCAACAGTGCTGGCACATTTGAAGTGGATGACTCTAAAGGCAGATGTACCTTAGCGCTTTCCTGGATGCATGTGTCATGAAATGTGGCCAGATTCAAGTGGAAAAGTCCTAGTGTTATCATGTGCTAAGATGACCTTCACATTGTGTATGCCTGCATACGGAATGCAGTCTTAGTCAGGATGCCCATCCGAGTGCGCCAGTCCTGGTCCAGGCTTGGATCTATTCCAGCTACCTCGGTGGCTGAATGGCACATAGCCAGAACTGCCGATCACAGAAAGATTAACAGTTCAGCTTTCTCTTTGTCAGAAAAGAAAAGAAAAGGGAGAAGTAAGAGAACAAAAGAAAAAGGAGAAGTTACAAAAAAAAAAGGGAGAAGTTGTGCACTGTATCATCGAAGGTGGAGCCCGGAGTTATTGTGGCTGGTTGTTTTTTTCTTCCCCCTATATTGTGGTTTGATGGCAAGGGTGATTCTTTGTCTGGAGCAAGGAGAAGAATGTGTGCCTATCTTGTGACTGGAAGGTTGCTATGAACTCTCTCGTTTTCAAAAGTTTTTGCTGGTTTGGATCTAGAGTCCCTTGAGCTCCTCGGGAAAGGAGAGGGGGGAGATGATAAGTATTTTGCTTGAAAAAAGTATTCTCCAAAGCAAAGAATGCCAAATCACCATTGAATCATTGACATTGTTAATCATTAGGTCAAGGAGTGAGCTGAAGCTCTGAATGGCAAACCTCAAGATATTTACCGAATGGACGAGGAGTCCAAATTCTGTACATCGTCGCGGGGGGGGGAAGGGAGGGAGGGATCAGTATTTTGCTTGAAAAATGGGCAGTCGTCCCAGCAGAGTATGAAAAGGCATATTTCCCCAAAGCAGAGTATGCCAGAGCACCATGGAATCGTTAACGGGGGTTGAGGTGAAGTTCCGAATGGCAAACCACAAGATGTTAACCGACTGGATAAAAGTTCAAATTCTGTGCGCTGCAGTTATGTTTCAAGGCTGCTGCCCATGTTCAAAGCCGGTTGGTGAAGTCCTGAAGAGGACCGTGATCCCGTTGGCGGCTCAAATGCTTGCTCAGGGGGCCAATTGTTCCATCCTAGTGAGCAAAGACTACAGTGGTGAGACCACACTGTGAGAGAGGCGGGCCCATCGAAATTCAGGACCCGCTCATTTACGATACACAAGATAGAAGCATAGACATATAGAGACTCACTCCACTACACAGCACTCTATACGTATCTGGGCTAACGGTTATTCCGATACATTCAAAATGGACTCCTTGTAATGCACCTGGTCCGGGAAGGTGTCCAAATGCATGTTGAATGTGTAGTGAAATGATGCCCATAATCGAGTGTGAACGAGTATGAGGAATCTCAGTGCAGATAAATCCCTGTCGTCCTCATGATACATTCAAAATAGACCCCTCGTGATGTACCTGGTCCAGAAAGGCGTCCAAATGTATGTTGAATGTGGAGTAGTGGAGTGATGCCCATAATCGAGTGTGAACGAGCATGTGGAATCTCAGTGCGGGTAATTCCCTATGGTCCTCGTCATTCTACCTCAGGAGGGTGTGCCTCTTCACTGGCTAGTCTCCAGACAAAAGGTTGAGCAGGTGGAATTCATCCGTCTGTCGTACTCCATTAGGCAAAAAAGAAAAGAAAAGGGTTACCTTTTCTGACCTGTGATACGGATAAGAAGAAGATTAATGATCACGTCGTTTTGCAAAGCATGAACAGATAAACCTTTCATGTTGTATACAGTACAGTTCCCACCCCTATCAGACAAGTTGTGGGGTCACACCGCATCCTGTTATTTTTCATCATTTCCCCCCCCTTGTCGCTTATGTTCATGACACCACCTATCTCCTGCCGATTCTTCTGAATTGGGGACCCAGTGGTGGAAGTGGTAACGAGAATACGAAGATGGGACAGGACAAGAGTTGGAAGTCGGTGAGGTTTTGGAAGAGAGGAAGCAGAGAGACAGAGTACAGGAGTCAGGAAAAGGGAGGCCGAGAAGGAAGTAATCGAAGAGGGGAGAAGGGAAAGAAGATGATAAGGGAGAAGAGAAGGTCGAGGTGGATGAAGTAAGGAGAATTGGGGACCCAGTGGTGGAAGCGGTAACGAGAATACGAAGATGGGACAGGACAAGAGTTGGAAGTCGGTGAGGTTTTGGAAGAGAGGAAGCAGAGAGACAGAGTACAGGAGTCAGGAAAAGGGAGGMGGAGAAGGAAGTAATCGAAGAGGGGGGAAGGGAAAGAAGATGATAAGGGAAAAGAGAAGGTCGAGGTGGATAAAGGAATAGTGTTTGGGGAGGGTTACGAATAAGAGGATAACGAAAAGATAAATATTAAATAGGAGGACAAGTCCTCGACAACCTATGTCTTGCTGTGTTAAACTCTGGAACTGTCATGTTGAACGCCTTACCAGTGCAAGGGGAGCACATTTGTTGGCGATATTGCTCTTTGTTGTTCAAGGAGGGGTGTTTTTGTTGTTGTTACACCCTCCACTGATCGTAAGCTTTCGGGAATGCGCTGTGTCTCATTCCCTGACTCGCTTTTTCAATGGTATACCTCTGTGAATCAGGGTTGCATACCTGCCAACGGCCAACCCCGACACCCGACCACTTTGCAGCCGACCAGTCAGAAAACAGCCATCCACTGATTTTTTTTCAAATCTGAGATGGGGGCTGTACTATGCTTGCCGAATACAGTCCAAATCCGCTGAGAAACTTTGGGGATGGGGGGGGTATGGGGTTGATGGTGGGGTTATTAACGGTTCTGGACCCAAAAAAAAAAAAAGAAAGAAAGTTGGGTGAGAACGTTGCCGACAACGTCCCCCGACCTGTAGGTGCCGACCAGTCAGGGCTGCCGACCGTCGGGGTATGCAACACTGTTTCGTCTGCAAACAGTGCTCAAGTACACCTTTGTCTTACACTGTTCTTCTGTCTGAGCCTTTTTGTTCCGCCGGTGAAGTGGAGGGTGCTCATTCAGTCTATGTATCCGGAAAGTATTCAAGTGATGACTGAGATGGTATAATTGTTTATGTGGAGTCTCATATGCACATATAGTTTGTTTCAGTATCAAACGTGCCCATCAAGAAGGGCTGAATTTGTAGATGACTACGTGTGATGTCCTGTGGTGCTTATGATATCGCAGATGCCCGGTCGTTGAGGCCTCGTGGTCTTACTTAGACTTCCTTCCCTGCTGATCGTCCGCCGGAATTTTGCCTTTAAACCACCAGTACACCCAGGCCTGGTGGCGCCGCACTGTGGGCCAAGCATTCCCGAACTGCCAGTGGTGCACTTTGTTTTCTTTCTTGGCTCGCGCCGCCAGCCAATGTGGTCACGGTAGCCCTGAGCGTTTTAAATTTTAGGAGTAGGTGATGAAGAGAACTTGCAAGGTAGGTGCCGTTTACCGCCCGTTTAACGTCGCTGTGTAAGCGCGGTGGATAAGGCTTCTGCTCCAGATAAACTGCCAACTATGCAAAGTTCAGATTCACATACTAGATGTTCATGATTAGTTCACGTTTGAGTTTGAGCAGCAGGATGACGCCGGTCCCGCTGCGACCCTGAACTCCACTTGACAGCAGTGACAGAACCTTCAGGTGTGTTGGAGAGGACAAAATCTGTGTTTGTGTGTTTGCATGTTTGTGTACTCACACACACTCTTTTAAATTGTGTGTGTGTCTGTGTGTGTGTGTGTGTCTCTGTGTGTGTGTGTGTGTGTGTGTGTGTGTGTGTGTGTGTGCGTGTGTGTGTGTGTG